TTATCTGGGACTACTGGCACAGGCACCCAGCTTGTGAACATTAGATTTTACAAGACAACAAGCACTGGTCTCTTGAAAGAGAGGCTGGGCTGTCTAAGAGATGCCCTTGTTTGCCCAGACTTTTGCCCAGGACAAGTCCGATGCCACCGGGACACTAAGGACCGCAGAAGACCTGGTGCTCTGGGCTGCCTTCGAAGTACTGAGACCCACGGAGATTTGGAGAGGAATGCAGCAGACACCTGCCTCCTTGCAGGGCTTCTCAGGGCCTCTGCTGGGATAGGGACATTGCTCACTCCCCTCGCAAAAGACTGGTCCCCACCGAGCATGGGTTTACCTGGTCGTACCTCCAAGGTCCTCCCTCTTCCACCAGCAGCACAGTGAACACCCAGACCACATAGCTTGAGGAGGTTCTGGGTCTATGTGGCTCTGGGGCCACGTCTACCAGTGATTGCTCAGGAAAACACATGAAGCAAATGAGTCAAAATATGGAAAATGATTCACTGTAGTTGTTTCGGCTATTTCTCACCTTATTTCTATACAACTGTGACTAATTCTACCAGATGCCAGCTTCATATATAAGACCATGGATTTTCAAATTTGAGTCTGAATTGCTTGGTTTTTGTGTGGCTGCATAAATGAGTGAACAGCTAATCCCGAGGTTTCAACAACACAAAGACCGTGTGGCAGGTACACACTTCAGGATGCTGGATACGACTGACGGCCACATGGCCTGTGCACATGCTGGTGTTGCCCCAGCGACTGAAAAACAGCTCATGAGAGGGCTCCTCAAGCTCCAATGACTCAAGTCTTCCCTTTTCTCTCTAGCAACAGTGACACTATACATTGCAGGGTTATTATTTCACTTCTCATACAAACCTCTGGCCTGGTGACTTATCCCTTGAGGCATGCTATAATCACTGAGAAATGTTATCCCTGTCACATCTTATTGCTTAATTATGACTCCGTTTTAGGCTCCCAGAGTCATCTGGCTTGGAAAGTCCTCTCTGTGTGATCATGAACAAACCTCCAAGTCGTGCTACCCTGGAGCTCACACTGTCTGTTCCATTTCCGTCTTGTTCTGTCTTAGGCAATAATTTTTGCCCCAAGATTCAACACCACTTTAAATAACTGTGATGAGCTCTTACACGTATGCAATTTGCCACAAGACAACAACGCAGGGGCGGGACAGTGCTGCAGGACAGCTCTGCACCAGTGCACATGGGAAGGTGTGGTTCACGTCCAGGGACCTCCGAGTGTGTGGGCACACAGGTGTGATCTGGGCTGGCTGACACTGGGGGCAGATCACCACAAAAGGACGCTGCTCAGGGTGCTGTGTGCAGCTCTGTATTTCTCTTACTTGTGGAATAAAAAAACTTTACAAAAAATAAAAGATACTACTAACCCTTTGTCTTTCAAGTTCATTCAATCAGTACTTGATGGGGCTTCACACTGATGCAGTCCTATTTTATCTGTGTTATTATTTTGAGAGATTTTTGCTATAGGGCACTTGTGCTCACCAGTGAGACAGAGACAGAAAGTGAGAAATCAGCCCCTGGGGAGAGAGCCATGCCACAATCCCTCCTCCTCCGTTCACCTCTTGAGATTTTGGGCAGGCACACACATGCGCCAGGTGTGTTTTGAGCCACAGTTCCAGGACTCGAGCCATGGTCGACCATGTGGGAGTCCAGCACCTTTACCACTGTGCTACCTGCCGGCCCCAGTGGATTCCTCTTTTAAACCAATGACATGCCAGATCCTCTTCTTTCCAATTCACTCTTGCTCTGGTACTATACTTCTTAAACTCAAAATTTATGCATATTGCCTAACGTTTTTTTGGCTTTTGTTGTTTGGTTTGGTTGTGTATGTTTGGGTTGTTCCCCTTCCTGAAGGCAAACTAAAAGGTATGGGCGAATCTTAGGCACGTCTAAAGGTTGCAAAAGTGGATAAAGTAACTAAAATCAGGACTGTTCTAAAAATGTGTGATTTCTGCAGTTTGCACCGACATCTGGTGTTCCGACGCTTGTTCTGCATCGTTATTAAGACATTATGGGGCCAGCCAGTGGCATGGTGGTTGAGGCACGGGACTCCCACAAGGCCAACTGCAGTTTGTGTGCTGGCCCTGCCAGCCTGCTTTCTCACTTTCCCTTTCTCTGGCTCTCTCTGGTTGAATTGAAAAAGAATAAATTTTTTAAAAAGCCATTATGTTCTGCATCAGTCTTTATTTATCACTGCATCTTACTCCTTCAATGAGAACATAATCTTCTAAAGGACATAAAGGCATACACATAGACTTCTTCCATGGCTCTGTCCATATCAGTAGCTACACTTGTTTGAGCAATTGAGTAGAGGATGCTGCATTCTCAGGACAGCTGTGTGGGATTAGAAGCTTGCAGAGTAGCCTGACACTGGGGTACAGGCAGACTGCAGAATAGTGTCCGGCTTCACCCTCCAGAGAGCAGTTCAAGTCAGGCCTGGGGGAGACGTAGACTGAGAAGGGGAGTAATTATACTGGGCCAGTGGCCCCAGGCCTTGTCTGGCAGACTGAGTTATATCTACCAGGGCCTTTTAGAATGCTGACTTGGCTCCTTAGAAATACAAAACCGAAAACATCATTTATAAAGGTCATTGAGAACGGCCCAGGTCAGAATAGCTGGAGTCCGGTCTGTGCCAGTGCCATGGAAGCGGAAGTGTCTGGATACTTAGATAAGCTCCTTGAGAGTACTACGTTGCCAAACCCAAACAAAGGATGAGAGGTTTATGGCTGAGTTCTCACTCTGTAACTCAAGTGCCACTCCAGCAATGAAACATGTTCTAGGAATTCCAATCAGAGATTTTTATCATCTGACTTGGAAACCAGCTGTGCTCAGGGAGTACAAAGATTTACCACCTGCAAGCACTGTAATTCTGCGGAATTATGCAGAGGGAAAACTTGAGGAAAATACAAGGTTTTATTTAAATGCAATGAGAACCAGGCTTTAAAAGCTTCTGCTTCTCTGAAACCCACAAAGAGGGCTCTAATTTAATGAAGGCAGTAGTAGGGAATCACAGTGTAAGAACGCTTACACTCAGGGATTCGAGCTTACCCAAGTACAAGTAGTGCTTGAAGATAGTTAAGTATAATTACTATGATTGGTCAAGACCATCTTTTAAGTAGACAAGTGTGAAAACAGAGTAGCTGGCTCCCAAATTACTCATCTCTTCAGTAAGAACCCTGGGCGCCCTCTGCTTTAACTGTCTGAGAAGCAGAAAAGAGAAGTTGACACTACAGAGGGACAGTGCTACAAAGGGCGGGAACTCAGGGCAGTCATTCTGAACCCAGCGTTCCCTCCGGATACTTACTGGTCACTGTGGAGTTGTGCACTTTTGCAGCAAACCCTACCGAGCGTGTTTTATTTTACAAGCTGTGTGATCACGGCTGTCCGGGAAACCAGTGCCCAAAGCCCTCACGCCAGCACCAACAGCCCATTTCTCATCTGCTTCGCCCCATCAGGCGGGACGCAGCCAAGGCAACGTCACCTCGTCACTCGTACCATCGCCTCAACAATCAGGTACCACTCTAGGAGAGCCAAGCAAGAGAAAGCTTTTACAGAGGTTTCCACGACATCCGATAGCCATATCTGCAAGTATTTAAGCATCTCTCTCATACACAATCCAAGTCGGTTATAAAGCAAACATTTCAGGTGGAGGAATGCAGAGCTCCATGGTCTGAGATGTGAGAAAACGGCAGGAGCCTGGAGCTGCAAGTTCATCAGCACTTTAATTTTCAATCGAGCCAGCTGAGCAGCCAACAAACTGCCAGTGAGAGCGCTGGCCCTCAAATCCCTCATTATAAAGCAAGGTGACTGAATCGAATGACGTCTGAGATCACACCCAACTCATTTCTCCACATACGACTGGTTAGACTGAGATTTAAGATTGTGTTAACCAGTATTATATTAACATAATTAACATATTACGATTACGGTTGTATTTATAACATTAGAGAACCTTATTTACTAATTTATTTTCCTTAATAGAAGTTCAAACAAAAGTAAATAACATGGGGCCGGAGGAGCAGCAATGCCATTTGACCCACATGGGAAGGTCCTGGGCTGGGTCCTGAGCCTCCCTTGACTTTATACCTGTCCTGGTACGAGCGAGCGTTCCTGAATCCAGCTGGCTGAAACTAGCAGCGGATCGTGGTGCGAAGCCCTGCTGGGATGCCTGGCTCTTTCTCGTGGAAGAAACGCATTTTTTAAGGCAAAATGAGAGACCATACTATAATTCATCACACTTGTTTATTTCTTAGAAAAATATTTTGGTCAATGAAACTTTTCATTTTTATGTACATCATTTATAAATAAAAATGCAGCTACCTGTATAAATGCTTCTGTTTTGCGAAGCTGGTAACAGAAAGTCATACTTCCAACTCAAATTATAAAACTACAAAGCTCATCCATATTAGGGGCGGCAATACACTCAAACCCATTTTAAATAGAATGTTGCCCTTTCAGGAACTACCATGGACACACTATTATAGTTGTCCCTATCTTCCTTTATGACTGTTCTTTTTGTTTTTTAAGATTTAAAATATAGTATTTTTTACTTTCAGCATTTCTGATAAATATATAATAATTGTATGTGACATTCACAGACTGTGGCAAAACTCTATTTATTTACACATTCACATACAGCACAATGGAGTGGTCAAGTATCAGCTTGATATCAACTATTAAGTAATAAAAAGTCAGCTTTTTAGCAATTTATATGCTTTGACAGGTTAATTTATGTTTGACATATAAAAATACACATTTACAGATAGTTTTAGAAAGAAAATACATCTTTTTTTGACAACGAAAAGTAGCAGTAAGAAGGGCCAGCAGGTGGCATGGTGGTTAAGGTACTGCATTCCCACATGGCCAACTACAGTTTGAGTCCCGGACACGATAGCACGAAAATCATGCTAGACAAATGCACATTCTTGCCCCAGATCCTGAGAATGGAGAAGGGAGTGCAGGGTGGTCATACCCCCTGGCGGATGATTTCTCACTCTCGCTGTCTTTCTCCAGTGAGCACACGTGCCCTATGTCAAAAACCTAAAAACAAAAAAGCAGCAGTAAGATTTTCTGTATTATTTTCAGCCTCACTTTAGAAATGTTTCAAATACCTAAATTTAAATAATTAGTTGCCTAAAGGGTAGTATTTTAACATTCAAATTATACAGTATTAAATACTACGTATGTACATATGTGTGTCAACTATCCAAAACTCAGGTTGTAAACTAAAACCAACTAAAATGGCCAACTGAAAACAAAAGGAGTGTTAGCTTGTCTGTTCTTTACATAAATTGCAATTTCCACATTGTATTCTGCAATTTTACTGAGCCCAGATACATAATTCAACCTATTTTTGTTTTTTCTCTTCCTCTTTTTTCCACACAGGAACTATGTCTTTTTACTTTATTATAAAATAGAACCTCTATTCTCGACACTTCTGCCAGAAACATTACTGGTCTAAAACACTCTAACCATGTAGCTTTCTTCCATTTTTAAAGTCACGCACTTTCCCAGTAAAAAGTGTAAAGGAACATTGAGGGACGAGATCACAATTGAGGTGAGCTGCTCCACAGCCTCATGGCTAAGGGAGCCAGATCCCGCAAGGCTGATCGCAGTTCAAATCTTGGCCCTGGAGGCTTGAAACGTCCCAGGTCCTGACAGGACTGACAGGACTGACTGATGAAGAGATTGTGGCATGACCTTACCTCACGAGGGTGCTTTCTCCCTCTCCGTCTCCAGTGAGCAAACATACCCTCTGGAGATTTTTTTAAATCACATTGAAACATGTCCCTACATAGATGATGTTACCCAACTAAAACTAATTATGGATTCAAAAATTAGCCCTGTTCTAAAGAGGCCTTTGTCAGAGATCAGGGTCTAATGTCCTGCAGAAGCAGAGTGAGTACCCAGTCAGCCAGAGAGAACACTGGCCTTCATGTGGCCAGAGCAGGTGAAACGCCATTAACATCCCGACCGGGGCCGTGCGCACCAAGGGGCACGCTGGAACCTGCACGCTGCTCATCGACCTGTGGGGAAGCAGCCTGTGCCTGAGCTTTCCTGTTCTCTTTGGCAGAGCCCAAGGCCACACTCTCCCCAGCGGGCTGACGTGGCCTCTCCACACGAACCACTTGCTTCCCTGCTTCTTGTTCCCGCAGCAGTTTTTCCACCTCTGCCTCCAGCTCTAGAGTCTCCTCGGCTTGTACGTCCAGCTGCTGCATCAACTCCTCCAGCTTCTTGGCCTTCCGGAGCTCGTTCTGCTGTATGATCGTACACAGGTGTTCGGTGAGCTGCTCTTTGATCTCAGTCTTGCGCTGCAGATCTAGCTTGGCGCCAACGTACTCTGCCTCGGCCCTGTCAAAGCGCTTCCTGTGAGGACAGATGAAAAGACTGGGCCATTAGTTCTCCACTGAGGAAGATATCCAACAGGGTCTAGAAATACACTCCAAAATTTGAGGGAAAAAATATCATGAAGAAGTGCATATTAATACTTAACAGACATTTGTCTAAACGTAGGCTATGGTTTCAGAGATGTTCACAACATGGCCATTGGGATTCACCACTGTAACATTCCTCTGTATCATTTCTTCGTTCTAATGCGCTTGAGTGAAGGCAGGCTCAGAGGGTTAACTCACTGGTTTGCAAGTTCCAGAGGGGAGAGCCCTGATCTGTATGTAGTGTTTGCCAGGTTATTAGGACCACCATCCCGGCCAATTTCAAGCTATCGACGTGCCATTGTTGAATGTAGAACTGGGGGAGAGACACCAAATCTGATTTTCATGAGTCAGTGCAAGCTAGCTGAGGGCACAAGTGAGTAAATTTATGAGAGGTAAGAACAAGTGATGCAGAAAATCTGCATCTTTGATTAATGGACCAGAAAAAGAAGAAAAATTATGATGGATAAGGGTCTCAAGAGTAGGTGGAGGCAAACCTACGCAAGACAGAGCATATCCAGCACAACGGCACTGGGCAAGGGCAAGCAGCAGGCACACGCAGATGGAAACCAGACAACTTCCAGCAGGTCTCGCAGCCTCCGCGCTGCCCTCAGGCTAGGCCACATGGTTCTGCCATAAGGAGCAGTCCTGTACTACTGTACGCAGATGCTCGACAGCATCACTGCCTTCCACACACTGGCCACCAGTACCATCCCCAGTTCTGAAAACCAGCAATGCTTCCAGACATCAGCGAATGTCACAGGAAGGACAAAACAGTTCTCTGATGAGACCCCCCGGGTTAAGGTGTGCTCATCCTCTCCATTCAGCAGCCACAGACCACTGCCATACTCGTATCAGGAGACGTTAAATATTTATACGTGTATAAACGAGACAGGTAATGCCAATTACCGGGATAATTTTACAAAAAGCTACCTTTTTTTCTTTTATCACATCTACATTCACTACCTTTTGCCTTTTTCATATAATCTTTCCTTTTTTGGAACAAATAGTTTCTTTCTTTCTTGAAAAAAAAACAAACAAAGGTTGATTCTTCTTTACCAACAAGTTCTTCAACTCGATCCCCCTAACAGAGTTCAAGGCCAAGTTGTCTAACATGCCAGGACTGCCCACACCAACTCAACATAAAAAGCACTTTCGAGTCCAAGAATTAGAGCAAAAAGAAATGGATCTACCTTCTAAAGTTAAGAGTCTCTGTGTCGAAAGACAGTGCTGTGAGGAATAAAAGTCCTCTGTCAGAAAAACCAAGGTGCAGGGATCAGCAGTTTACGTAATGGCTATGTCGCTGGACTCTCATGTAGTCGCCCGCGGTTCGTATCCCGGACCCAGTGGCTTAAACTCACACCGGGTGTGTGTGCATGTGTGCTCAAGATCCCGAGAGGGGAATGGAGGAGAAGGGATCGCAGCGTGGCCATCCCCCCTGGGGGGTGATTTCTTGCTTTCCCTCTCTGTCTGGCAAGCACACGTGCCCTATAGCAAAAACCTCTTCAAAAAAAAAAAGAAAGAAAGAAAGAAAGAAAGAAAGAAAGAAAGAAAGAAAAGAAAACCCAAGGTGCAGAGCCTTCCTCTGCCACTTACTGTGTGCCTGTTTTGGCAAAGCTTTCTTTAGATGCAAAGAACAAACGTTCTGTCAAACAAGATCAGGTTAGAAAAGAAGGGTTTAAGATTTAAGAGGCAATTCCAGGACTGACTCTGCTGCCTAGTGGTTAAGAAAACAAGATCCTACATGGCTGACTATGGTTTGAATCCTAGCCTGGTGACTGAAATACATGCTAGGCACAAATGCATTTGTGCTCGAAATCCCAATAGAGATGAGAAGACACTGCAGTGTGACCACAGTATTGGGGTAGGGGGTGTTTTCCCTTCACCCTTTTTCCGTCCGCTGGCAATTATTTAAAAAAAGAAAAAGGAATAAAATTCCACAGAATCCAAGTCCATTCTCTTCAGTGTTCAGGAGCTGCTCAATTTCTTCCGCTTTCCTGTCACACCCACAGCCAAGGTGGCCACCAGCTGTGGCTTGACATCAGACTCACTGAGTGCAGTCTCACTAATCCAGTTCAAAAGTCCAGAGGAAAACCCAGCCGTTCCAGCTCCTCTTATTGAACAGAGCCCTGAGCACCAGGCCATGCCATGAGCCACTGCTAGGCCTGTGGATGACGGCCGGGAGATGTGGTCCGCCTCTGCCATCAGATGGGCCAGGGTCAGCCTCATGAGTGTAAACCCAGCCAAGTCCTGCAGGAGGGGCGAAGGCAGGGCCTCGCTGAGCCTTGGTCTGCCTGTGAGTAAGTGATGTCGACTCGTCTCTCAAGAGTGTTAAGAATGTAATGGTGTAAACAAGCCAAGTGCCTAGGCTGGTGGGTGCTCATAAAACAGAACTTCCTCTTCAGAGCACAGAATTAAACGGTACTGCAGCACATTAGTCCATATGTACCTTAAACCAAGATTATGTAAAATTTAGGAAGCTGGTCTTTATACTTGAAAACTCACATCTTCAGCTTCATTTTCAATCAACTCGTATGTTAGACTTATTGTCCTAAAATATCTCTGGGTCCCTGGGTCCCTTACTTCCAGGGCCGAGGAATGCTCTTACGTATGCCCTGCCTGGTGACCTCTCTGCAGACCCGTGAGCACCGTGCCTCTTCCATGCTCGAAGCTCTTCTCCCCGACAGGTGAGGAAAGTCAGCAGAGAGGTATGGAAGGCGCTCATGAATACCGAGTTGAAATGAACGTCTGCAAATAGGTCTCTGGGTTTCCACTCATCTTTCACCCTGGACGAGTCACTGAAGATTTTGTATTTTGTTTATTTATTTAAAGTCTTCTGGCCAGAAATATGCATATATATTCTTATACTGAGTGATCTGTGTTTAAAATACTAATTTCACAAATTCTACTACCCGCCTGGAGGTCAGGTGGGTAATACCAAATCGGAGTATGACGTACTTTTGAAGAGAAAAGTAAGAGCATTATACATAACACAGACAGACATACAGAACTGGAATTGTAATTATGGAACAGTTTTGTTACTTTAAATGGACATTAAATGATTTAATGAATAGTATTTAAAGGATTCTAGAAATTGTCTCTTGGTTTTGGCATCCCTCAAATTTTTAAAAAACTCGATCATTAACCTTCCATATACCATTGGGTTCTACGGTCCACTTCGGTTTTTCAGTTTATTTTCTGAGTAGTCCTATTTGTACAGATTAACATACCATCATTTTTATTCAAGTCTTTTAAAGAATAATGAGATAATTTACTCATTTTTAAAATAACAAAATAAGGGCCAGCCAGGTGGTATGGTGCTTGAAGTGACTGGATCCCACAGGGCCAACTGTGGGATTCAAGACCTGGACCCAGAGGCTTGGAAAAAAATCATGCAGGGCACTTATGTGTGCATGCCCAAAGTCCTAAAAGAAGAACAGAGGAAAAGGGATTGTGGTGTGGCCATCCCCACTGGGGGATGATTTTTCATTTTCTTGCTCCTGCAAGCACACGTATTCTATAGCAAACAAACAAACAACAGAATAAAACAAGTTCCATTTTACAATCACTAGATAAGACCATTTTTTTAGGGGTTTTTGCTAAACGGTGCATGCGCTCATCAGGAAGAGAGAGACAGACACAGAGACAAAAAGTGAAAAACCATCCCCCAGGGGGGATGCCCACATTGCAATCCCTTCTCCTCCATTCTCCTCTTGGGACCTTGGGCACGCACGCACACGGGCCCAGAGTGAGTTTAAGCCACTGGGTCTGGGACGCGAACCGCGGTAGACTACATGGAAGTTCAGCGACATAGCCATTACTCCAACTGCTGGTCCTCCAATAGACCTTTTAATAAATCTAAATAAATTATGACATTGTAGAGACATTAGTTTTCCTGTCTTAAAATATTTTGCCATTTCATCACTCTAAGGATTTCATTACTCGATTATTACCATTTTTGCTCTCAAAATAAAATGACAAAAAAAATAAACGATGATGCAAGGATCTGAATGGATGACAAAATAATAAAACAAATTTCATCATTTGTTTCCTTACTATCTTGTCCAAAGTACTATGTTACCTCAGAGAGGGACAGAAGACTAGAAATACCATCTCTGTAACTTTCAGTTTTCCATTGGACAAGTTGAGAACTAGTATTTTTTTTTTCACTTTCTGCCCATATCGGCAAAATAGTAAAAAACTGACAGAGGAAGACATTTTGCCAATATTAGACAAATCCCAAGAGGAATGCTGTGGTAAGCTAAAAACAGCCTCCCAGAGATAAATGCTTCCTGACCCTCGGAACCTGTGCACACTACTACCCGTGAAAGAGTAACAATTACCGTATTTAGCAAGCACAAGATTACATTGAGGCTTCTAAGGTGGGCCCTATGTGTAAACACATGGATCCTCCCAGGGGCCAGGCAGAGAAGTCCACAGAAAGGCGAAGCAGCAGCACAGCCACCAGAGGCAGGAAGAGACAAGGAGCGGGTAAGGAAAGACGACCCTGCCCACACCTGGACTGGACGTCTCACCTCAGAAATGTGAAGAAAAAGTTTCCGATAGTTTTAAGCCCCCCAGTGTATGGACATTTGTTTTGTCTAGAAACTAACACAGAGACTCTGGAGTGTAGATGGTGAGGCAATGACAGGTAAAATCTCAGACCAACGGTCTTCAGACACATCCTCGGTGAACTTCCTGCAACTCGACACAGCAGGTGTGAGGCTGGAAAGGAAACAGGACAGGCTCTCACAGCTCATTTCAACAGGAAGGACGCGACCACCCAGTATCATGCAGGTACGGCCAGGCCATTGCCACAAGTAACCACATTCTCTCAGCTGCTCCTGATGTCTGGGAGTCAAAGAGGTTTACTATGCTCATCCTTACTAGAATCTTTAAAGTTGTTTTCACAACCCGTATTTTTCTTCCTTCATAAGGAAGTAAATGATTTTAAAATAATTGCCTGTGTATATGTGTGTGTGCACATGCGTGAGCGCACATGCATGTGTGTTTATGGGTGGCTATTAAACCTAGATGGCAAATGCTAATTATCGTTCCTGGTATTGGAGACTTCAAGAAACCGCTCCACAGGGAACACCCCAGCAGGGGCCGGCGGGCTGCGGGGCACACGGAGTGCTACAGCCTGGACTGGTGCGGCAGCGGACACGCAAAGGGGCCCACTGGGAATGCTGACTCTAGAGGTGCTCCTAACACGCTCTAGATGCCCACTCTAAAGCAAGGCCTGCCCATTCACTGTCCAAGAACCTTGGTGGACAAAGTACTGTATCAATACCAAAACTTATTTTATTAAAAATGAACGTGCAGGGGCCAGCATGTGGTGTAGTGGTTAAGGTGCTGGACTCCCATTCAACCACACAGTTCGAGTCCCAGACCCAGCAGCCTGAAACTCACACTGGGTACATGTGTGCGCATGCTCAAACTCCCAAGAGGAGAATGGAGGAGGGACTGTGGCGTGGCCACCCTCCATGGGGGGTAATTTCTCACTTTCTCTCTCTGTCTCTCGGTGTCTCCAGCAAAAGTCTCTCTAAAATGGAGGAGGAATTGTGTGACCATCCCCTCTAGTAGGTGTTTTCTCACGTGGTCCCCATCTTCTGGCAAGTGCACACACCCTCCAGCAAATTAAAAACCAAATAAATCAAACAAAATCAGATTATTTTTCTGTTAAAGTTCCTAGTACTATATCTTATAATATGAATTAATCACATAAAAGGCTACAGAAGGCATAAAATACCCTTCTGGCAAACATACTGTTACAATCAAATGTGCTAAACGACCTTATCATAAAATCTGGAACCTCTAGCTATCAACTACTGATGTCATTAATTTAGGTAGTTAATTAATAAAGACAATCCATTAAGCCTAATAGCATTCGGTCAAACAACCATTACAGAAATCACTGGGACAACCACAAACCTCCTTCTTAAACACTAAAGAGTGAATTAAAAACCACAATCAAGCATTTCCACTCTATTAAAGCGTTGCATAAACATTCTAATGTTGTGGTCTACCCTGAACTAATGAGGCATTCTGATGATTTCTAGTGTTACAGAGAAAGATGCAGAACTGAGTCATTAACACAGCATTCCCTTGTGAAAAAAGACAAGCTAGGATGATTAAAGCAATGTTGAAAGGCCTGAAAACCCTGAAATTGGACATAATTTTTTGCCTTTTTATCTGTTTGCAAAGTCCATGTAATTCTTTACATGTGTCAGCTTATTTTTAAAATATTCTGATTTTTTTCTCTTTAAAAAATTGCCAATGGTCCAAACCAAGAGAACATATGATATCAAGCTATTCTGAACAAAATATAATTAAAAGGGAAAAATTTCAAGTTTCCAAGACTCAGTGAGTGGTGGGACTATCAGATGTCATGGTGGTTAAGGTTCTGGACTCCCACATGGCTGACCATGGTTTGAGTCCTGGACTTGGTGGCTTGAAACTCACACTGGGTGTGTGCGTGCGTGCCCAAAATCCTAAGAGGAGAATGGAAAAGGGGGGTGATTTTTCTTTGTTATAGGCGTGCACTCGCTGGAGACAGACAGAGAGATAAAATGCGAGAAATCATCCCCAAGGGAGGATGGCCACACTATAATCTTCTCCTCTCAGGATTTTGGTCATGCATGCACACACACCCAGCATGAGTTTTAAGCCACCAGGTCCAGTATTCAAACTATAGTCCACTACCTGGGAGTCCAGCAACGTAACTATTATGCCATCCGCTGGTCCCATGATTTCTCACTTTCTATCTCTCTGTCTCTCCAGCAAGTACATGTGTCCTATGCCAAAAATCTCTCTCTCTCAAAAAAAAAAAGACTCAGTGAGTGAGTCTTAAAATAGCTTCAATCCATAAGGACCATATTGAATAATCAAAATAATTTTCTCGTTATTCAGGACAGTGAAATGACAACAAGAGCTGAGAGACTGCAAGGAGAGAACGATAACACCCTCCACAGGGTCTGGTCAAGCTGCCATCCTGTCCTCCAGCCCTCCAACCTGTCAAGACCTTGGGCAGGAGCGTGTACACACAGAGGGTTTTAGGCTGACTGGGACAGACATGCGAACCACAGTCACCATCTGGGATCCAGCTTCCCCAGAGCTGCGCATTACTGCTGTGCCACAGTGCAGGCCCTGATACTTAAAAATGTAATGAGCCAAGAACACAGACTTGCTGTGTTATAATAGTCAAGTTCTGGGTATAAGTCATTCAGGTATTTACTTTGGTAGACTCTGAAAACTGTAATAAGTGTCTCAAATATGAAATAGCTGATGGTTTACAGGGAAGACTGAACTGTAAATACATAATGCAAGAAATGCTCTAACAGCATGTGAACAAAGCTACCTGACAGGGCAGAGTGGAAGACTTCACAGAAAAGGAGACACATGAAGGAACCCATCAGAGAAATACATACAGCACCCAATGCGGTAGTTAAGAGGCTTAAATGATAAAGTACATAAAAGGTCCTGGCCCAGCTGGCAGTAAACATTAATTAAACTGGACTTCTGTTTCAAGTTCAATTCCCCTACTTACTGAGCACACGAGTAGTCAAGGCTGGCCTGATCAATCCGGTTCCTGAGGATTCCAATGTCGGCTGACACCATGTCATCCAAAGCCTGCAGCTCCTTCTGGATCCGCTTTAGTTTCATGGTCTCTGCCTGAGTTCTTTTAGATCTATAAGTCAGGGACACAAGTGGGAAAATAACACCTTTTAAAACCATGCACCATATGCAATACAAGTGAGAAGGCAAAATATGATGTGTATTGTTTTCAAAACTTAGAAAAAAATAAAAACACTGAAATCAATGCTGGTCACATTTTGATACATCTTTAAGACTGCACTACAGGGAACTAGCAGTTAGCGTAATGTCTATGTCGCTGGACTCCCACGTAGTCGACCGCAGTTGGTGTCCCGGACCCAGTGGCTTAAAAAACTCAAGCCGGGCGCGTATGCGTGCGTGCCCAAGATCCCGAGAGGAGAATGGAGGAGAAGGGATTGCGGCATGACCATCCCCCCTGGGGAGTGATTTCTCGCTTTCTGTCTCTATGTCTCTCTCTGTCTGTCTGGTGAGTG